CCCCCCCCCCCCCCCCCCCCCCCCCCCCCCCCCCCCCCCCCCCCCCCCCCCCCCCCCCCCCCCCCCCCCCCCCCCCCCCCCCCCCCCCCCCCCCCCCCCCCCCCCCCCCCCCCCCCCCCCCCCCCCCCCCCCGCCCCCGCGCCGCAGATAAGAGGGAAGAGCAGGAAAAGGCGGAGAAGGGAAGGGCGTGAGAACCTTGGGGGAAAATCCCATGATCTCATGAGTGGAGCGCGGCGGGCTTCTACAGACTTGCCTCCGTAGGTACCTGGCATGCTTACTTCGGTCTTTCTGCACTGGTCGAAAATAGATCTCGATAAAGGATCCGAGTCCAAAGCATCCTAATACACTCGGCCTTGTTCTTGGCCCTGTCTTTGTTCCTCATGTCGTAGAAATACCCGCCTTCTGACTGGTCGACGGCCAACTGCAGCCCTAAGTATAGAGTCCCCTCGGGGCACTCCATACTTGCATGTTAATTTCCTTCACCGGTGTGTTAATGAGGTGGATTTTAGGTTCCCTATATGAGCCTTGCCTACCCAACAGAAGTTATTGCCAAGTTATAGTTATATACAGTATATTTGCTTAATTTGGCTGTTCTCAGCCGTCGTCTCCTGGTATTTTCGTATGGTACAGTGCATCATTGAACAGAGTGCCGCACACCAAACGCCTGGGGTGCAAGTAAATGAAACATCCAGCCGGAAACAAGTAAATCATGAACCTGCACCTCCTTTGGCGGCCGCCTCTCTTTCTCTCTTTCTCGCCAGGTATCGTTCCTTGGCACTCGAGACGTCGGTCGTGGTCTTCTGGCTGCGGCTGCGCTCGGCGATCTCCTTCTGTTTGGCCGCCTCGGCCTCTTCTTCCTGTCGGGCCTGCGCTTCTAATTGTGCAGCGATCATCTCCGTCTGGCGCGCGCGCTGACCAGCCCGACCACCCGACTGCTGGCCAGAGTCGAATCTCGGTCGAGCCGCCGGACGAGCCGCCTTCGCCGCGGCCGCCTCACCCTGCGCCTTCGGTTTCGGCGCCACGTTCAGACCGGCAGACAGCAACTGCCGCTTGTCGACCACCTGGCCCTCTTCGTTCACCGCGATGCGCGCCCCCCGTTCATTCAGCTCCGCCGCCTCCTGCGCCTCCGTCTTCTCCTTGCCGTCGTTCTCCGACTCCGCCGGCACCTCACCAGCCTGCACCTTGCGCGCCGTCTCCTCCGCCGCCTTCACAGCCGCCTCGTGTCGCTCTTCGCCCCGCGACAACACATCCCGATAGAACCCAATCATGCCGGACCCGCCGTTCTGCCTCCGTCGTTCCTCCTCTTGTCTCTCCCGCTCCGCCTCCTCCTCTTCCACCTTCCGCAGCTCCTCCTGTTGCGCCTTATACGCTGAGGTCACGAACTTCTCCTTGTCTGCGAACTCGTCGCCCTCGGCCTCGCGCTCCTTCGCTAGCAATCGATCCCGAGCCCGCAACTGATCCCGCTTACGGATCTCCGCGCTGCGCAGCAAACTCGTCATGTACCGCGGTACGTCGCCGGATCCTTGCTCCGCGGCTTTGCTCTTCTCCGGCTTGGCGTGTAGGCTCTCGTACACGGCGTCGTAGGAGTATATCGAGGGGTCGAGTTCCGAGGCTTCCTGTGCGTGTTTGCGACTGCTATGCAGGGCAGATAGATTCGTGTAGGCCTTTGTATCTTGCCTCTGTGTCTGTTCTGGCGCGGTGTTCAGGCCATACGTTCCCCCGCTTCCTGGTCCGATCCCTAATTGTTCTTCATTGTTGGTGGCCCCATCTTCATCTTCGTCGTCGTCGTCCGCAAATATCGACTTTTTGCCAAGGGGCTTCACGTTCAGTTTTCCACCACTGGCACTGGCTCCATTGAACGGCACTTTTCGTTTCGGCGGCGGTAGCTGCGAGGATGTAGTGGACTTGGGTTTTATTTTCAGTCCTGAGGGTGCGGGTTTTGTAGGTGCTGGTTGCTCGTCGAGGCCGCCGATTGAGCCAATTTCGATGGCGCCGCTGTCGCCGTCTTGGTTTGGGTTTGTCTCGCCGTCGGAGTCCGAGTCGTCGAAGATCGTTTTCTTGCGCTTTTGGCCGAGTGCGCCGGGGGGTTTTTTGTTCGGGAGGTTGAGCCCGTAGGAGGGTTTAGATGGGGGCATGGTCTGTAGGTCAAGGGGTTTGGATGGGAGTGTTTGTTGCGCGGGTAGGTTTGTGGTGAGGTTGTGATGAGTGATGTACGTAGGTAGATGGTCCACGGCAGACGGAGAAAGATGCGGTTCGAGAGCAGAGGAGCTTCCGTTATCTTATCAGCCACGTGATACCGCGCATCTCAATGCAAACTGTCCAAACAAACCGAACATCGAATATCTCCGGAGACAATCCGGAGTAGAGAAACATACTCCAACACCGGCTTCATTCACCTTCCTCCTCCCTCACGATTAACCGCACCACAACACCAATTCTTTACCGTGGCCAAACCCCATACCTACTACCGAATCCTGACAAAACCACATCACCTCGAACCAGAACCGAGCACAGCAGAACCGACCAAAGCAGAACGGCCTAGATCAGGCAGAAGACCAACAATGTCCTACTACTTCACCATCCTCTCCCCCACCGACGTCCCGCTCTTCAACCTCGCCTTCGGTACCTCCAAGAGTGGCGGCGATGGGATTGCGCGATTCCGTTTCCCAGATACAGCGCAGTACATGAACCAGTTCATCATCCACTCTAGTCTGGATATCTTAGAGGAGGCGCAGTGGATGAACTCGAATATGTATGTCTTACATACAAACACCACCCTCTTCCCCACCCCTCCTTCTTTCACCTGAACACCTCCAATTCATATTCCAACTCCAAGCCTAACAGTCCTCAAAAATTAGGTACCTAAAACACATTGACACCTACCCCCCCTCCAGCGCCTACATAACCGCCTTCCTGACCCCCTCCGGCGCCCGCTTCCTCCTGCTCCACCAACCACCCCAACTCCCCTCCTCTTCCAACACCGCAGGCAACACCAATAGCACCTCTTCCTCCCTCCTCGGCTCCTCATTCTCCTCGTCTGCGGTCGGCGGCGGAAGCTCCTCCCGTGCCTCGGCGTCCAGCATTGCTGCGAACCCGACGTCGCCGCAGACCGAGGAGGCCGTGCGCCAGTTCATGAACGAGGTGTATGAGAATTATGTGAAGACGGTTATGAGTCCGTTTTATCGGCAGGGTGGGGAAATCAAGTCCCCTGTTTTCAGGGGAAGGGTTGTAGGGGCGGGGAGGAAATGGCTTTAATTTATTTCTTCTTTTCTTTGAGCGTATGGCGTTCGGTTGGTACAGTACATTACTGCAAATCCTTTTTACAATTTACTTGATTCCAATAGATTAAGTAAGGTATGATAAACAAAGGTCGTTTCGATCATTCTTGTAATGTGTTGTCGTGTCCGAGGTCCCTTGAGTAACGTTAACTAGATAGTTGTCTAGATAAATAAACGATGGCTCCAAAAAAAAAAGTAATGTGAAATGAACGCTGCTCCAATCACTCCCTTCAAAGTCGCTAAATGTGCACATCAAACAAGAAACCGAAGGGAAAAAAAAATTAAGTCAAGTCTGCTAAATCCAGCCCAAGCCAAACAATCATGTCCAAATGGCATGGTCATGTTTCCTCTCTCGCGTCGTCTCGTCCATAATTTCAAAGGTCATAAGGTCAGGTCACTATACCGTCATCTGCGGAGCCAGCTTCTTCACAGTGACAGATTTAAAGTTCTCCACGGCGGTAATCACATCTTCCATTTTGGCTACCGCGCCGAAGATCCCGCCCTCCATCTTCACCGAATCCATCGTGCTGACGTGCAGACTGGGCTCGGTGGCCGCCGTGCCGTCGTCTAGAACGACGCAGTCGAAGCCGCGGTCATTCGCTTCTCGCATCGTAGTGGAAACACACACATCCGTACTGACGCCAACAATGACCAGGTTCTTGATGCCTTTGTTTCGCAGCAGCAGTTCAAAGTCGGTGTGCGCGAATGCGCCTCGTCCCGGTTTGTCGATGACCGGTTCCCCGGGGATCGGATACAATTCGTCGACGGTGTCGTGGCCAACTTCTCCCCGGATGAGAAGACGTCCGAGAGGGCCGGGCGAGCCGATCCCCAGGCCGGAAGCATTATTTCGTGATCGGTAGGCTTCTCGGCTAGAAAGCGTGGACAGATCGGGTCGGTGGCCTAATGGGTCAGCAGGGGCTCTCGATGTCAGACAGGCGGAACGTACCCTCGCGAGTGTGGTAGACCGGAAACCCAGACGCACGAAATATTGATAAAAGATGCTGAAGTTTGATGATAAGTGCCTGAGTGGCCGAGATGTCGTAGCCTTGGTATTCCAGGTATCCACCCGGCGAGCAGACTGCGGTGTGTTAGCATGATCTAACCGATAATGATAGTGGGCAACCGACAATCCTTCTGCATGTCCACAATCACCAACGCAGTCGTATACGGCGTTAAAGTGGCATCGTGCGGCCAGTCATAGGGCACGGCAGCAATCTGACCCTTCCGGACCTTATGGTGAGGAACCTGTCGCGGCTTCTCGATCACCGGGCCGTGGTTGTGCGTCGGGTTCAACACGGTCAACGTCCAAATGCCAGGAGTTCCTGCTGCAACTAGCATGAACGGGCAGTCCATCAGCCGGGACGTTCGCCGCCGTTTTCGCGTCTCTTCCGTCAGTCCGTTCCGAGGACGATAATGCCCACCCCGATCGCATCGAAGCCACACCTTTGCCGTGCGGCCTGGTTTCTTTTCGGTAGGGGTACTGGATGACTTGACAACAACATTGTAGCCATGTGCTTTGCCATGTGTCTGGACTGCCGCCAGAAGAGATGCCCTGGATGTTACCGTCAGCGGAAGTATAGGAATACGTAAAGAAACACATCAATAACAAATGACCTGGTAGGTGGACAATAGAAACTTGGTGGATCGCATAGATCCCACAATCACGCCAAGAAATCAAAAGCTAGGCACACTTACTTGTCAGGATACGTCCCTTCCGGAGGGGCAGCCAGTTGCATGGACATCTCCGGGATGTCCTGAAGATCGCTCGGCGCATCGAGATTCAGATCGGTGGGGTCAGCCATTGCGATCAAGTCGAGTGGATCTCCACTTGGAAAGACAAAAGAGGTCTGAATCGGGCATCAGCATGAGGAGACTCCAGTCCAAGTCATCGCGACAGTTGCGACAAAAAATTGACGAAAAATCAAAATCGCCATCAAATCCATCAAACATCAGAACAATTTAGATCCGTAAGATCCATAGGTGCGTGGAAGCAATCCATTTTCCAACGGTAGAACCCAAAATATTGTGCTGTGAACCGGGGATCCCATTGTGCGTGGACATAGGAGAGAGAGCAGCGACGCCCAAGCCAGCGTCGGGAAGGCGGATCTCCCTCCAACCACGATGAGGGGGGATGGGAATGATAGACGATGGCAGAGAGCGAAGTTCCAAGGAACGGGAGACCAACGCTCGGCTGCAAGAGCACTGACAGGGGGACAAGGAAACAAGCATCAACTTACAGGAGGAACAGGCGATCCGACAACGATCAGAGAACCCCAAACATGGACGACGGGCGACGGGCGAGTCACTCACAGCGGCTCCTCGGAAGACGCACAGCGCAGGCGGTGAGCACGAGCCTCCCGGAGCCCGTGTGTCAGCTGTCACTAGACCCGGTTGGGCTTAGCTGTAGATATCGTTATGACGACGGTGTACAGAAAAGTGGTACCTCTGAGGTACGGGTCCCGCTAACAGTCATACGGTTGGTGCCTAAGTCCCCTGCCCGAACCCAGCCCTGTTCCCGTATGTAACCAGTGTAACCGTACCTGACGCTTAGCTAGACTGGACAGCGCAGTCACAGACAGTCACAGTGTTCTCCGTAAGGTACCAGGTTTGCTTGTTTGTTCCCGTGGACACCGGTCGGTCCGTCATTATTATTAGCCTTAGTTTAGCAGCATCACCACTCCCTCTCTTCTTCCCACCCCCCCCCATCACATCCCACAACAACTGACCCATCCTGGCCCCTCTGTGAGGGACTGTTTGGTTCTCTCTCTAGGTAAGTCACTGTCGCAAAGAGTATCGGTTGTATTCTACGTCCTTTATTCCCCTTCTTCCCCCCCTTCCTTTTATTTGTTTCTCTTTTGTCCCCTTTGTTTGTTCTCCTTGGCCTTGCCCTTCCGGTTCAAGTCCACGCTTGCGTCGCGATCCCGATATCTGCGACACCGCCTCCCTCCCCCTGGGAGATCCCACCCCCCTCCACCACGACCACCACCTGTTCACGCACGGTTGCTCGAACTCTATCCCCGGTGGATAGTTCTCAGGACTCTCAGGGTCTCGCCTTCAACCCTCTCTTCGGATTAGGTTGACGGCGCGCGCAGAGTTCCCCCTTCTTCCGGCGGTGACGATCTCCCAACGTGGTCCTCCCGAACGTGTCGCTCTCCCTCGCCGGCGTCGGTGCCCGGCACGGCAACAATGCCCTCAGCCGACGTCTCGTTCTCTTCCGCGAAACCCAATGGTACCAGCTCGAGCCGTGAGGAGCTGGCCTACTATAAGGCGCAATATGAACAACTCGAATCGGAGTTGTCGGAGTTCCAAGCCTCCAGTCGAGAGTTGGAGGCGGAGCTGGAAAAGGACATCGAGGCATCGGAGAAGCGCGAGCGACAACTGAAGGAGAAGGTGGATGTCATGAAATATCAGGTGGAGGAATGGAAGGTATGTTTCGACTCATACTCATATTTGATTCTTGTCTCGTTCCGCCACGGCACATTGCGCTGCTCGTGAACAAGTCCCGACTAATTAATTGTTTGTTGTCCAGTCCAAATACAAGCAGTCCAAGTCGGAGGGCGACGCGGCCCAGAATCGCCTACAGAAAGAAATCACTTCGTTGCGCGATGTCAATCGAACCCTTCAGCTGAAGTTACGAGACATCGAAGTTGCAAATGATGATTACGAACGCCAGGCTCGGCATACCACTTCATCCCTGGAGGATCTGGAGTTCAAGTACAACATGGCCATCGAAAGAGGAGTCCTCCTGGAGGAGGAGATCAAGACGGGAGAACAGGAGCGAGAAGATCTCCGCATCCAGAATCAACGCCTCCTCAGTGATCTATCGGAGCAGAGGATCGAAACCGAGATCGTCCAGGAGAAGCTCCGCAATATGGATATGAATGGCGGCCGCCGCAGAAAACCCGCTCCATTAGGCCGCAGTCCGTCCACGCCGCAGACTCCCGAGATCTTCGATCGCTCCCCGTCGACGTCCATCGTGTCTTCGCCCTTGTTTGCCACGCCTCCGATGAAATCGTCGCTGATCTCCGCCGCTGCGACTCCCCCCTCGCCGCCCATTTCCGAGTCGTCCATCAGCATGCGCAAGTCCATCACTGCAACGCCTGGCTTCCCTTTCCAAAGGGCTTCGGCTTCCGAGCTTGGGTTCCGGTCGTTGCATGGGTCCAGGACGCAGAGATACAACTCTCACTCTTACTCCGGTCATAACGGCAACAACAACAACAACAATAACCATCACAATGCCAATCATTCTCGTGCAACTTCCTTTGCTTTCAGCACTGGCCGCACCAACTCGTCGATCAGCTCTCGTCCCGGTCTACCGAAAGCGAACACGGCCGCCACTCGATCGTCGGCCGGAGGACTTCCCAAGTCGGGATCCTTGTGTCAGATTCGCGGCCTGATCGGCAAAATGCAGAAGCTGGAAGAGAGGGTCCAGTCGGCCAAATCCAAGCTGCCGCCGCCCTCAAGCTCCCCGTCCCGGGCCTCGTCGCGCTCGGGATCGGTGGTGGGCGAAAGTCCCGTCGCTTCCACCATTACGGCTCGCAGAAACTCCCGCAAGCGATTGAGTGGCAGCAGCTTCAACTCCTCGGTTCACGGCGACAGCGCCTCGTCCTATATGACGCACAATAGACCTTCCCTTAGCGCTCGGACTCAGGGCGATAGCCGACCTAGTAGCCGCACGAGCTACTCTAGCTCTTTCAGCCAGAGTACCCACCCAAGCGTCACGCCGTCGAACCGTCCCGAAAGTCGTCAGAGTCGCACCAAGACGCCGCTCGGACATTATTCGACCAACCCGACCACGGAAAGTCGGCGACCTCGGTCTTCCCTTAGCAACCCGTCGGCTCATGGCGCCCCCGTCAATGGAATGGCTCACATCGACGAAGACGAGGATCTGGCGTTCCGCATGTCTGTGCGGGCTAAGATTAGTGAGGCTCGCGAGACCCGTCTCGGCTCGTTCTCCTCTTCCCCCACCACCCCTACCGCCTCGAATGGAATCAACGGGGTGAATGGGGTGAATGGAATCAATGGGCTGAAGAAGCGCACTCCCAGTGGAATCTCCGCCATCCCAGCACCTCGAACCCTCCGAGCCAATAGCGGACTGGAACGGGGAAAAATCAACATGGGGCCACTATCGGAGCCGCAACCCCAGGCCCAAGACTTGGGTGAAACGTTCTAAACGTTCTTATGTGCCTCGTTCTATATCTCATATATCACACAGAATAAGGCTTTGCTTTTTTTCTATCTTCCCTTTTACGACGTTCACGGCTGGTACGCGGGTATCTTTTCGCACTTCAACTTCATACCATATTCAGAATGCTATCTTTCTTGTCATTCCTTGCATTCCCAACATTTTTTCTTTTCTGTTTCTTTTGATTACCCCTTTTAAGTCAACTACCCCTTTTGCAAAGTTCATTGTATTTGTTTTAAACGCTTCAGTTCCGAGGACCGGAGCATCTATTATTGGAGGACTTTTATTCGGGAAACGGGGTTGTTCATAGAATTTGGGAGAATTCTTTCCCCTTCTTCTTCTGGGCGCTATCGCGTGTTTTCTGCATCGATATCGATAATCGTCATACCTACCTAGTCTATGCAATCAGGTTTTCGGCGGACGGCGGAGTTGGCGAAATGTGTCTGGTCTATTTACATGGCGCATCAATTGTGTTGTTCCCGGCCGGGGGTTTCTTGTCTTTTGTCAGACGAGTTCCCCATCGGCGTCCAAGCTGTTACTCAGCAAATTCTCACTTTTTTTTTTAAATCTCTTTTTTGGTTGTCTTTTTCAAACCCTGTTGTGTTTGTTGCCCTTAGGCGTTGCACAATACCCAGTTTAACAGTTTCGTGGCTTGGGGTTCTTAGAAGCCGTGGTCGGCCTGCTGCAATGGGTTTTGATTTGATAGGTTTATTATGGTGAATATATTTGCTTTGATCTGTCTCTTATATTTCCTGGCTGTACTCCGTATGCTCTTATTTTTCTACAGATGATTCGTGGACATTGCTTACTTGGCAGATATAGAATGCTGACGACGTAGTTTGGTTGGTCGTAACTACCCTATATTATTTAGTCATTGGGATTTCTACTGAGTCTAGAATGTAGGTACTTTTTGTGTGCTACACTTCATGTCCTTTCCCCGCTTAGAGCTTGAGTTCCTCAATACAACCCACATTAGGTCCCTGGATACCCGGATACATATAATGAGATAGATATATCCCAACCTCCAAGTAAATACATACATATTCCCGCACCAATCTATCCCCCAAATTGCTTCTTCAACTCTTTCACCTTAACCCTAAAAACCCAAGTAGCCAAGAACACCAACAGATAGTTCGTCACACAAAACCCCCCAAAAACCGCCCAGTCGCGCCAGACACATACGGAAAATGACTGCGTATCAAGGTCACTGCATTTGCGGAGCTATCCAGGTGTCGCTGAAGCAGTAGCCGCCCAGCACACTGCGGTGCTATTGGTACGTTAAGCTGAATGAGACATAGATAGCGCCTGCGTTTACTGAATACGGATTAATATGCTCCAGTCGCAACTGCGCGAGATCCGGAGGTGGTCAGTGTGGATATACAGCGCACTCCGCTTCTTTTGTCATTGACCAACAAACCACTAGTCTAGGCACCTCAATCAACTTCGTCGTAGACGAGGCCGAATTCGCCTTGAAAGAAGCCTGCATGCTCAAAACATTCGAAGACACCCATACCGTGAGCGGAAACTGTGTTCAAGTTCGTCTCACACTGTCCCCCTCCCCTTATCCCTGATCTTTGTTTCCCCAAAAGTCAAAATTAAAAGAACTACACCATGGGGTATTCGTAGCGACAATTCTGCGGAAACTGCGGCAGGTAATATCTCCCCTTCTCGCCGATTTTCCCGCTTTTATTTCGTATTGATTTGAATCCGCGTTCAGCCCCGTTTCCACCATGAGCCCAGCGTTTCCAGGGAAAGCTCTGATAAAGGCCTCGCTCTTTGACGATATCTCACCTCCCAACCAGGAGGTCTTTACGGATCGGAGACAGACTTGGGAGAAACCTATGCAGGGGGCTAAGCAGGAATAGGGCAGGTTTGGTATTCTGGGCAGAGGTGTACGGCTGGACAGCGAGCATATATCGGAGTAGAAAATAGGAATTGAGCTTCTTGTTGGCATGTATTCTATCAGACATGAGACATTGGCTAGATCTAGCATGTAGGGAGAAAGGCAGAACTTGGTAATGCTTCTGTTTATGTTGTATAGCACCGAAGGACGAGAGAGGTGTCCAAATTAAAGACATGGAGTTATGGCAAAAGTCTACGTAACAATGAGCAACTATCAGAAAGATTTAAAAATTTTAAATAGAGCCATTGATAAAAAAAAAAACCAGTTCTCTGATTAGGAATCACCTTATCCAGCTAAAATGCATGCATGGCTCATCTAGGAATGGGCAGACAAACTACACACCCCGCCAGAAACAAGATCCACTGCATCCCCAAGTCATCGATCTCCTCGCGACTAATCAATTGACCAGACTCAGATGCATGCGTGAAGAGGATACACTCGCCTGCCTGCTCTACCGATGCGCCTCCAGCAACACGACACCCTCGCCTCCGTAGCGTTTCGTGAAGATTCCGAACTCCCTGCGCAAACCGGCCTAGCGAGCCTTTATCCGATCCCCGAAGCCAGAATATAGTGACCTTCTCCTCCCTCGCTAGGTCGAACAGGGAGAGGTCGAGAAATGAGGACGAGGGAGGCAGGTGGCGAACGTGAATGAAGTTGTCTCGCTCTGTGGCACCCATTTCCAGGAGTGGGTTCACCATCTGCGCGTACTCGTCTTTCTTGGCCATGTAGGCTTCGTGGTCGGTGAGATGACGCCACTCTGAGAATTTGAATTAGCATCTGTTTTCCCTTTTCTCTCTGAGTATTCCATCTCTCTCTCTCTCTTTTTTTTTTTTTTTTTTTTTTTTTTTCCCCCATGGGATTGAAAATGGAAGTAGAGTTAGGTAACCTACCGATTAGCCGAACCACAAAATCAGGATTCCATTCTGAATTGCCCTCCCAGAGGATTTTGAAGCCAGGTTGTCCGGTCAGAGCTTGGATGCTTGCGCTGTACTTTGCATTATTGGGGACCTGGGTGAAATCCAGTCCCGGTTTGAGGTATAGAGAGGTGACTTCAAGCATTCTTGTTTGGTCTGTCGTTATATTGAAGTAGGAATGAACTGAGTGACCGTGACTTATTATGTACTATGTACATCACGACAGAATCTCCCAGAAGCCCGCCCTTTACATGCTTTTCCATGGCGTTGTCGCTGGACTCGGAATACTGTCTAGTAGTTCTGGACGATAATTCCGCAACTCCGAGAGTGGTACTCTGACTCAGCGAATGGGGTTTCCTCCCTCGCAGCATCTTCCATCTTACAATCATTACGTATGGGTATACATACATCTGACACTCCGCCACAATCGTGCTGTGGAGGTCTTCACACCGAAGCCAAGACCGATAATGGCAGCGCCTTCGCGGGTCCAGGGCGAGGTACTCCGGAGCCTGACTCGTATTTCCCGCGCCTGTGAGCGCTGTCGGATGCGCAAGGTCCGCTGTGATGGCTCCCAGCCGTGCTCTCGATGCTGCGAGCAGACAACATGGTCCGCACAAAGACAACAGTCTGGACCGGTCTCAACTACGCAGCCGTTCAACCCGGCCTACCGATCGGCGTAATCGGCATCGGCGGACTAGGCATGTACGCACTGCAATTCGCCGCAGGGCTCGGCCACCCGACCATCGCAATCGATAACAGACAAGAGGGACTCGACCTCGCGGGCTCCCTCCCTTCCCAATTCCAACCAACGGCTATCATCGACTCCAACGCCCCGGATGCTCAGAACCAGGTCCTCCAAGCGGCCGGAGGCGGCGGCCTTGCCGGCGTGCTCGTCTGTACGGATAATGTATCCGTGACGGAATGGATTCTGAAGCCGCTATGCATTCCGCTGGGTCTGCCGCCTGACGGGTTCAAGTTCTCGGCGTTTGATGTGGTGTTCAAGGAATTGACGATCCGGGGGAGTTTGGTTGCGAATCGTAGGTTGGTGTCGGATATGATGCGGTTTGTGGCGGAGAAGGGTGTCAGGGCTCATGTTAGTACGGTGCGGTTGGATGATGCGGAGGATTTGCCGCAAAGGTATAGCGATCCCCATTTGAAGGGAAGGCTGGTCGTTGTTATGTAGGCGATTTAAGGGAGCAGGCAGGCGGGGAGTCAGTCAGTCAGTCAGTTACTCTTGACTTGATATGATATGGGCGTTCTGTATTGTCAATACAGCATTTATGTACATATGTACAGTATATATCAATGTTCTAGTGCGATTTGACGTTGACGTTGACTATGAGCTATGAGCTATTAGGGATTGTAGATATTTGAATGCCTGAGGTTGCAATATGCCAAGCATTCGCCGTTTGCCAAGGATGGCCATTTCATGTATACAGGCCTAGAGGAGCTCTTCTTCTTCATCAACCATCTTCTTGATCATCGTATGAAGTTGAAATAGTTGAGATTATTCATTTGGTTGACGCCTTACCTCGCAGAACGTTGAGTGTTTTCATGTTGTGATGCAATATATTTCCGCTTGGACCCCAACGTAACGGACCGAGCATATAGCGATAAATATATATAATTTTTGTAGAAAACTAGAGGCTCAAGACAACCAAAAGGGAACTAAATTGACGATTCAACCGAGTCTATTCAAGATGATCAACTAAAGGAAGATGGAGGGGCAGGCAAGGTGCAGGCCTGAGGCATCCGCCGGAGCGCCTACAATTTCAAGTCATTAGGATCTGCAGATATGAGGGAAGTCTACCACGTGAAATCTACCTCTTTCAAACAAGGTAAATAACTTGTCTGGTTTGAATTCCAGTCGCAGTACAGAAGAAAGTGTAAGGTAGGTAGCCTGATGGTCCTATAGAACCGCATAGCGAACATGATAAGCACCTGATCTACGGAGTACACCAACCACAAATACGAGGAACTGCTCCCTCTGTAACTAATTCCAGTGATAATGCCACTGACTAGGTAAACTACCTATGGTCCCCGCATTGCTCGTAATCATCTCAAAGACATCCCCACTCGATTGTCAACTGTCTGTTGTATGGCCTCGCTTGCCCGATATGGCCTAGTGCGCATGTGACCTACAGTTTCGCTAGTGTAGTCAGCGGTCTTCAAGACCTTCCTCAATTCTAGCATTCTACTCGGTACAGTCATCAGCGAATAATGGAGAGAATGAATCCATTCGACGGAGTACTCCGTACCTCCAAGACCGAGTCGTGACTCGTGACCGGAAAGGCGGAATGGCAGATGCGCGAGAAAACTGGAGTCCGTGGGAATTTTCGCTTTGCAATTTGCTGAGGTCGATCCGCCCAACGGGGCAACGGCCACCTTTTCTAGAACCTTGAGGCTGCCCGCGGATTGGCCGGACACGGAGGGATCCCGCCGTCAATGGAGTTCGGTTGAGCTTTCGTTCCATTGATCAGTGATCAGGAGAATCCAGGAGGTTCCAGGTACAGGTCTGTTTTATGATTTTATCCTCTGTCGTAGTGATTGGGCTACGATGGCGTTAGGTATCTATATCTGACAGCGCGGTCGGGTCAGTTATTAATGATCATCGTCTTACTCGTGTTGGCGGGTCACGGCGAGTATTTTTTTTTTTTTTTTCTTCTTCTTCTTTCCACTCTGTACTTTTTATTTGTCGGAGGATTTTATTGATTCATTCTTTGAAATCGCTTAATCCGTATGCTTATGCTTACTCTTCGAAGGATGAACTGCTTGCTTACTTTAAGTTTATGATCATGATCATGATTATGATTATGGGATTAATTTCTCTTTTGTTCAGACACCCCCTGACCGAAAATCGATGGGATTCTGTCATCTTCGACGGGCAATCGTCGGTGGGTTCGAGTCTCCTGCCAAGTAGGGGCACCGTCGATCGCGGAGGGTTTTGGGGAGAGTTGATATTGCGATGGTCGGTGTTTCGGACCGAAGGGCTGAAAAAGGATTCCAAAATCCAAGCCTTATGGAATTAGTACGTACTATTACGGAGACGAGCTGAATGACAAGAGTTCGAGTGTTCGAGAAAGAAAGGGGAGGGTGAGATAATTTGCGAACGGGTGGATCGGCGTCCAGCGTCCTCCGTCTCTCATCCCGAGTCTAAATCAAAAAGGGACGGGTAGAAGAGGAGTTGGGATAGTTATCTATTATCTATATAATACGGAGTAGAGGGAACAAAGTGCCTGAAAAAGTCCCGAAGACGGTCGGAGTATTCCATGCGGAGTTTTAAACGGGGCCTTTTTTTTTTCAATTGTTGTCTTCAGGTTGAGATCTTCCCCGACGGGATTAATTAAAGACCAAGACACTCATAGGCCCGTGGGAAGATTAGCTCTCCTGCCGTTTAGTCCAGGCCAGTGCAGCCGATAGGGCCGTTGGTTCATGGCTGCTTCGCTAACCTCCTTTTCTGGACGGTTCCAGCTTCCCAGAGGGTTGGCGCCAGCAGCGAGTACCGAATCACCAATACGGTGAGGACTACTGAGGACAGTCCGGACCGGCAGTTCGTGGAGGGTGGGAATGGGGCCAAAAGGAGAGTCCCAACTCCCCGTGAATGTTGACCCAAAGGGCCAAAAGTGGTGGGAAAGAAGTGGGTGTGGACGTCAGCGGGGCCCAACAACCCCCTTTCACCGCCTTCCCTTCTGCCGATTGAGAAGAAGTTGGGGAGGGTTTTTTTTTCCCACAGATCTTGGCTAGGTATACTGTGTTGTGTCCTGTGTAGGTGCTCGTATACATGCACTTTGCTTCAAGGTCAATTAGAATGTATAATAATGAATTCGTATGATTGTAGCCAATGGATTCTTCTTCATCCTCTCTACTATTCTATGGTATAAACATAATATTATCAGAATAATATCGCCAGATCCCACTAGTGCCCGCATCGACGGTGGTCGCCCCCTTTGGGGATAGCTCTCGGTGACATTTCCGCCTTGCCCGGCTGGCTGGTCCGCTCTGGTCGGTCTGTCTGTCTGCGCTGTCCCTGCCGGCTCCAGTCTATCCTCTTTTCTTCTCCTCCTCTCCCAATCGGTCTCTGCTTCTTCTTTTCTTCTTCTTCCTCCTCTTCTTCTTGCTTCACAAACTCTTGTTTGCTGACATCTCCTCTCCCTCCCTCCTCTGACACAGCTGGGGTAATTCCTCTCTTCCTAGCCCCCACTTCTTCCCGTTCTTACGACTTAGATAATTCCTCCTGACACCGTGTGAACGCACGACTGGAGACGGACTCGTTTCTTCCTCTTCTCTTCATCTTCCGGCTCCTTTTTCCTCTTGTCTATTCTTCTCTTAGACCTGTATCACCACGAGCGAGACGATTCTTTCTTTGCGACTTCATCTCTCCTCCCTTACGCCACTAATTCTCTTCTCGGCTGTTTTCTTTCTTCTCCCCCGATAATTAACTTTTTATTACACGAGAAGTTTATGATTTTTTAATCGATTGATACAATCATGGCCTCCGCCAACGGTTCCAACGGGCAAGTCAGCTCGAAGCACGACATTCCCTCACATTTCATCGGTGGCAACCACCTCGACGCCGCGCCGCCGAGCAGCGTCAAGGACTTTGTGGCCAAGCACGATGGTCACTCTGTCATCAGCTCCGTAAGTTTGCCCAGCCCCTGGGCCTGACACCATTATACTTTTTTGATTTGACTGTGGAGATCTAACCCGGTCGTTCCTCGCAGGTTCTCATTGCCAACAACGGTATTGCCGCCGTAAAAGAAATCCGTTCCGTACGAAAATGGGCCTACGAAACATTCGGCAACGAGCGTGCCATCCAATTCACAGTCATGGCCACTCCCGAGGATTTGCACGCCAACGCGGACTACATTCGAATGGCGGATCAGTATGTCGAGGTATGTACTGTGTGGTTTTAGGGTTTGGGCTTTAAAAAATACTGGACGTGATTTGCTGATAATTTAATTCCTAGGTGCCCGGTGGTACGAATAACAACAACTACGCCAACGTTGAGTTGATTGTGGATGTTGCGGAGCGAATGGATGTCCACGCCGTGTGGGCTGGATGGGGTCACGCTTCGGAAAACCCTCGACTTCCCGAATCCTTGGCTGCCTCGCCCAAGAAGATCATCTTCATCGGTCCCCCCTCGTCTGCCATGCGCTCGCTTGGTGACAAGATCTCCTCGACAATCGTTGCCCAGCACGCCGGCGTCCCCTGTATTCCCTGGTCCGGAACGGGCGTCGACGACGTGGAGGTCGATAAGCACGGTATCGTCACCGTGAAGGACGAGATCTACAACAAGGGTTGCACCTTCTCGCCCGAGGAGGGTCTGGTCAAGGCCAAGGAGATTGGCTTCCCCGTCATGATCAAGGCCTCCGAAGGTGGTGGTGGTAAGGGTATCCGTAAGGTCGACAAGGAAGAGGAGTTCATCAGCCTGTACAATGCCGCCGCCAACGAAATCCCCGGTTCGCCCATCTTCATCATGAAGCTCGCCGGTAACGCCCGTCACTTGGAAGTCCAGCTGCTGGCCGATCAGTACGGCAACAACATCTCCCTGTTCGGCAGAGATTGCTCGGTCCAACGACGACACCAGAAGATCATCGAGGAGGCTCCCGTGACGATCGCTAAGCCCCCCACCTTCCAAGCCATGGAGAAGGCTGCCGTGAGCCTGGGTCGCCTGGTCGGTTACGTGTCTGCCGGTACCGTCGAGTACCTGTACTCGCACGCCGACGACAAGTTCTACTTCCTGGAACTGAACCCCCGTCTCCAGGTCGAGCATCCCACCACCGAGATGGTGTCGGGCGTCAACCTGCCCGCTGCCCAGCTCCAGATTGCCATGGGTATCCCCCTGCACCGCATCCGTGACATTCGTCTCCTCTACGGCGTTGACCCCAACACTTCCTCCGACATTGACTTCGACTTCTCCGACGAGGAGAGCTTCAAGGTCCAGCGTCGTCCCCAGCCCAAGGGTCACACGACCGCTTGCCGTATCACCTCCGAAGATCCCGGCGAGGGATTCAAGCCCTCCAGCGGTACCATGCACGAGCTGAACTTCCGTAGTTCGTCCAACGTCTGGGGTTACTTCTCCGTCGGTACGTCCGGAGGTATCCACAACTTCTCGGACAGTCAATTCGGTCACATCTTCGCCTATGGTGAGAACCGGTCCGCTTCCCGGAAGCACATGGTTATCGCTCTGAAGGAATTGAGCATCCGTGGTGATTTCCGTACCACTATCGAGTACTTGATCAAGCTGCTGGAGACGCCCGCCTTCGAGGACAACACCATCACGACCGGCTGGCTCGATCAGCTGATCTCCAACAAGCTGACCGCTGAGCGCCCCAACACCGTGGTTGCTGTTCTTTGCGGAGCTGTTACCAAGGCTCATCAGGCCAGCGAGGCCGGTATGGAGGAATATCGCAAGGGTCTCGAGAAGGGTCAGGTTCCTTCCAAGGACGTTCTGAAGACCGTCTTCCCCGTGGATTTCATCTACGAGGGCCAGCGATACAAGTTCACCGCCACGCGGGCCTCTTTGGATAGCTACCACCTGTTCATCAACGGTTCCAAGTGCTCCGTGGGTGTCCGTGCCCTGGCTGACGGTGGTCTGCTCGTTCTCCTGAACGGCCGCAGTCACAACGTCTACTGGAAGGAGGAGGCGGCCGCCATCCGTATCAGTGTGGATGGTAAGACGTGCTTGCTGGAGCAGGAGAACGACCCGACGCAGCTTCGCTCGCCCTCGCCCGGAAAGCTCGTCAAGTTCACGGTGGAAACTGGCGACCACGTTCGCGCCGGTCAGGCCTACGCCGAGGTCGAGGTCATGAAGATGTACATGCCTCTGATCGCGCAGGAAGATGGTATCGTCCAGTTGATCAAGCAGCCTGGTGCTACGCTGGAGGCTGGTGATATCCTCGGTATCCTGGCTCTGGATGACCCGTCTCGTGTCAAGCACGCCCAGCCCTTCACTGGCCAGCTTCCCGACATGGGTCCTCCCCAGGTTGTCGGTAACAAGCCCCCGCAGCGGTTCTTCCTTCTGCACAGCATTCTCGAGAACATCCTGCGCGGATTTGACAACCAGGTCATCATGGGCTCCACGCTTAAGGAGCTCGTGGAGGTGCTTCGCAACCCGGAGCTGCCCTACGGCGAGTGGAACGCCCAGTCGTCTGCCTTGCACTCTCGCATGCCCCAGAGACTGGACGCCCAGCTTCAGAACGTTGTCGACCGCGCCCGGTCTCGCAAGGCCGAGTTCCCCGCCAAGCAGTTGCAGAAGACTATCTCGCGATTCATCGAGGAGAACGTCAACCCTGCCGACGGTGAAATCCTGAAGACCACCCTGCTGCCCCTGCTGCAGGTGATCAACAAGTACATGGACGGCCTGAAGACCCACGAATTTAACGTCTTCATCGGTCTGCTGGAGCAGTACTACGAGGTGGAGAAACTGTTCGGTGCCCGCAACGCCCGTGACGAGGACGCTATCCTCAAGTTGCGTGACGAGAACAAGGACGACATCACCAGCGTCGTCCAGAAGGTTCTCTCTCACAGCCGTATCGGTTCCAAGAACAACCTCATCCTCGCCATCTTGGCCATGTACCGTCCGAACCAGCCCGGCGTCGGCAACGTCGGCAAGCACTTCAAGCCGGTCCTCAGTAAGCTGACGGAGCTCGAGTCCCGCTCCGCTGCCAAGGTCACCCTGAAGGCCCGTGAAGTGCTCATCCAGTGCGCCCTTCCTTCTCTGGAGGAGCGTCTGTCCCAGATGGAACTCATCCTGCGCTCTTCCGTCGTCGAGTCCCAGTACGGCGAGACTGGTTGGGATCACCGTGAGCCCGACTTCTCGGTCCTGAAGGAGGTCGTTGACTCCAAGTACACCGTCTTCGATGTGCTGCCGCGCTTCTTCGTGCACCAGGACGCCTGGGTGACTCTGGCCGCCCTCGAAGTCTACGTTCGCCGTGCGTACCGCGCATACACCCTGAAGAGCATCCAGTACAGCGCTGCCGGCGAGCAGCCCTTGCTCTCGTGGGACTTCACTCTCGACAAGCTCGGCCAGCCCGAATTCGGTCCCGTTTCGTCGACGCAGCCCTCGGCCCCCAGCACCCCGACCACCGAGGCCCACAACCCCCTGACGAGAATCAACTCCATCAGTGACATGTCGTATCTGGTCAACCCCGGCAGCGGTGATATCCGGAAGGGTGTCATCTTGCCCATCCAGTACCTGGAGGATGCCGAGGAGTTCCTTCCCCGGGCTCTCGAGATGTTCCCCCGCACTGGAAAGGCCAAGAAGCCCGCCGACGGCCTCATCGCAGACCTGGCGAGCAGCCGTCGCCCGACGGTCCGCACCGAGGGTGACAGCGAGCTGACCGGTGTCCTCAACATCGCCATCCGTGACGTTGAGGATATGGACGACAACCAGATCGTTGCCCAGATCAACGGTCTTCTCGCCGATGTCAAGGAGGAGCTGCTCGCCCGCCGCGTTCGTCGCGTGACGTTCATCTGTGGTAAGAACGGTATCTACCCCGGCTACTACACCTTCCGTGGACCCCTCTACCAGGAGGATGAGAGCATTCGTCACAGCGAGCCCGCTCTGGCCTTCCAGTTGGAGCTGAGTCGCCTGTCGAAGTTCCGCATCAAGCCCGTCTTCACGGAGAACCGGAACATCCACGTTTACGAGGCCATCGGCAAGGGCCCCGAGAACGACAAGGCCGTGGACAAGCGCTACTTTGTCCGTGCTGTCGTGCGTCCGGGTCGCCTGCGTGACGATATTCCCACGGCTGAGTACCTGATCTCGGAGGCCGACCGGTTGATGAACGACATTCTCGATGCCCTGGAGATCATTGGTAACAACAACTCTGATCTGAACCACATCTTCATCAACTTCTCTCCCGTGTTCAACCTGCAGCCCAAGGATGTGGAGGAGGCCCTGGCCGGATTCTTGGACCGCTTCGGCCGTCGTCTGTGGCGCCTGCGTGTGACTGGTGCCGAGATCCGCATTCTGTGCACCGACCCTGCCACCGGACTGCCCTACCCTCTCCGGGTGATCATCACCAACACCTACGGTTTCATCATCCAGGTGGAGCTGTACATTGAGAAGAAGTCTGAGAAGGGCGAATACATCTTCCAGAGCATCGGCGGCACCAACAAGCTCGGCTCCATGCACCTGCGCCCCGTGGCCACCCCGTACCCCACCAAGGAATGGCTCCAGCCCAAGCGTTACAAGGCCCACCTCATGGGTACCCAGTACGTGTACGACTTCCCCGAGCTCTTCCGCCAGGCCTTCCAGAACAGCTGGACGAGCGCCGTCGCCAAGGTTCCCTCGCTGGCCGAGCGCCGTCCTCCCGTGGGCGAGTGCATTGACTACACCGAACTTGTCCTCGACGACACCGACAACTTGGTGGAGATCCAGAGAGGCCCCGGTACCAACACCCACGGTATGGTGGGATGGCTCGTGACTGCTCGCACGCCTGAGTACCCCCGTGGCCGTCGCTTCATCATCGTGGCCAACGATATCACCTTCCAGATCGGTTCCTTCGGTCCCCTGGAGGACCGATTCTTCAACAAGTGTACCGAATTGGCCCGCAAGCTTGGTATCCCTCGCATCTACCTCTCTGCCAACTCCGGTGCCCGTATCGGTATGGCCGATGAGCTGATCCCCTACTTCTCGGTTGCTTGGAACAACCCCGAGAAGCCCGAGGCCGGATTCAAGTACCTGTACTTGACCCCCGAGGTCAAGCAGCAGTTTGACGCCAGTCGCAAGAACGAGGTCATCACCGAGCAGATCTTCGACGAGGGTGAGGAGCGCCACAAGATCACCACCGTCATCGGTGCCAAGGACGGTCTGGGTGTCGAGTGTCTGAAGGGATCCGGTCTCATTGCCGGTGCCACCTCCAAGGCCTACGAAGACATCTTCACCATTACTTTGGTCACTTGCCGATCCGTCGGTATCGGTGCCTACCTGGTCCGCCTGGGCCAGCGTGCCATCCAGGTCGAGGGCCAGCCCATCATCCTGACTGGTGCCCCTGCCATCAACAAGCTGCTGGGCCGCGAGGTCTACACCTCCAACCTGCAGCTCGGTGGCACCCAGATCATGTACAAGAACGGTGTCTCGCACATGACCGCCAACGATGACTTCGAGGGTGTACAGAAGATTGTCGAGTGGATGGCCTTCGTCCCCGAGAGCAAGGGTAGCCCCAGCCCTGTCCGTCCCTGGTCCGACACCTGGGACCGTGACGTGGCCTACTTCCCTCCTCCTAAGCAGACCTATGACCCCAGGTGGCTTATCAACGGCAAGGAGGACGAGGAGGGCTTCCTGCCCGGTCTGTTCGACGCAAACTCCTTCGAGGAGGCTCTCGGTGGATGGGCTCGCTCCGTCGTCGTTGGTCGTGCTCGCCTGGGTGGTATCCCCATGGGTGTCATTGCCGTCGAGACTCGCTCTGTCGAGAACGTCACCCCTGCCGATCCTGCCAACCCTGACTCCATGGAGATGATCAGCACCGAAGCCGGTGGTGTGTGGTACCCCAACTCCGCCTACAAGACCGCCCAGGCTCTCCGTGACTTCAACAACGGTGAGCAGCTGCCCGTGATGATCCTTGCCAACTGGAGAGGTTTCTCTGGTGGACAGCGTGACATGTACAACGAGGTCCTCAAGTACGGATCGTACATCGTTGACGCCCTGGTCAAGTACGAGCAGCCCGTCTTCGTCTACATCCCGCCCTTCGGTGAGCTCCGTGGTGGTTCGTGGGTCGTCATCGATCCCACCATCAACCCCGACCAGATGGAGATGTACGCCGACGAGGATGCCCGTGGTGGTGTCCTCGAGCCCGAGGGTATCGTCAACATCAAGTACCGCCGCGACAAGCAGCTGGACACCATGGCTCGTCTGGACCCCACCTACGGCGAGCTGCGTCGCTCCCTGGAGGATACGTCCCTCAGCAAGGAGCAGCTCTCCGAGATCAAGACCCGCATGGCCGCCCGCGAGGAGCAGCTCCTGCCCGTCTACACACAGATTGCCCTGCAGTTTGCTGACCTCCACGATCGCGCCGGCCGTATGCAGGCTAAGAACACCATTCGCCGTCCTCTCACCTGGAAGAACGCCCGTCGCTTCTTCTACTGGCGTCTGCGCCGCCGTCTCAGCGAGGAGCACATTGTCAAGCGCATGATCACCGCCGTGCCCTCTCCCGAATACCGCGAGGGCAGCGGCGCCGTTCCCGCCGGCCCTCCCACTGGCCGCCTGACCGACACCACCGAGACGTCCCGCTCCGCGCACCTCCGTATGCTGCGCTCGTGGACCGGCCTGCTCGACGACGAGCTGGAGAACGACGACCAGCGCGTTGCCACTTGGTTCGAGGAGAACAAGACCCTCATCCAGGACAAGGTCGACGCGCTGCAGACCCAGCGCGTGACATCGGATGTTGCCCAGCTGTTGATCAGCGACAAGGAAGGTGGCCTGAAGGGTGTCAAGCAGGTGTTGAGCATGCTTCCTGTCGAGGAGAAGGAAGCCATCCTCAAGCTTTTGGGATCGTCTTAAAGATGATCTCTTTATTTCATTTCATTTTTTCTTGAAAATACCCAAATCAGAGAGAGGAGACTCAAAATGAAGAGAGTGTTTGTTCATATTTGGACGGAAAAAAACTATTTCATTCTATTACATTTTATACCTCAATTTTTTTATCTTTTAACCTTTTCCCGGTTCGGATGGAACAGGTGGTTCGGTTCGATTGATTTATTGTTCATTGATTGATACATGTTGTCTATGTCATGTCACGTCTTTTCTTGGTCTTTTGTCTATCATACACGGTGGTTTCTTTATCTGTTTCTCCTGTTATTAAGCATTCATCTATTCAATTGATTCAAAAATATTTTCAATTTCTGGCTATCACCTAGTTACCAAGATAACTTGAGTTCTACTTCGTGAGTGTATGTACTGTAGTTCAGAGTTCCTTTCCTTTAGTTGTATTGCATTGCATATCTTGTCTGAGACGATGATTTGAAATATGGACATATAGTCAAGCAAAGATGTAAGGGGAACTGGTCTGCCTGATGTTAACTCACTGTAGATAGCGTTTTGTCTCTCCTTGTTCGATGCTGTCTGATAGGGAAGGGAAAAGGAAGAGAGAACCCTTGACTGTCTTTTTCTATCTAACCGGCTGGTAGCTACAAATACCTAGCTGAAGCAAGTGAGGAGTTCGTTGCCTTGGTCTATTCAAACACCCAAGGTAGGTACATAGTTAGGAAGTAAATCCAGGCACTCACTCTGTGAAGTTGGTGGATTGGTTGGTTGATGAACTTCGATTGGTGCTTGATCTGACATTCCTGGAAGCGCAGTAGGATGCTGCTTTGTGCTTTCCAAGTAATCCTCACGTGTTGGCCATGTAGACCTTAGCAGGGTTACACCCCGTTTTACCTATCCAAATGAGAAAGACTAGAAAACTAAGTGTTTCCTTTCTAGCCATATTCTTGAATGATAGTGGACGCGGCCGCTTTCACTCGCAAGGTACTTCTATATCCTGACCTTGTTAAACAAAAGAGCTCCTCACTAATGATGAAGCCAGATGTACGATTACATAGTGACTACTTGCTCTCGATGCAATAACATCATCAGCACCGAGGCGAATCGACTCACCTGTCGCAATACAATACCATCCACACCGTGACCGACAGGGCAAACTCCAATGTCACCCCTCGAGTCGATGCCTGTGGGCCTTGGTAATTTGCGAGCCCCCGGGATCACAATAAGACTATCTATCGATTGTGGTTCGATGCTCTTGACCGAAAGGGCTAAGCCCAGCCCAGCCAGTCAAGCAGCGACGGGTCGCGCGGATTGGTATATAATGGCGATCCGGATGTATAATCAGTAACGAAGGGCGGGAAGTTACCTATACCGTTGTCGTTGTGCGCTCGCGCGACGTCTTGATTCACCTTGTTTTGCGCGGGGCGGTTAGCCGCATACGCGTGGACCGTTTCCTGACCGAGCCGGACAAATGCGACGGGGAGATTGTTGTGCTCCGGTAAATGGCCCGTGACGGGGTCGTATGCAGGATTCGAGATGTCCAGGACTAGGAAGATGTGCGTTTGCCATCTCCGCTTGGCGAGGAGGGTCATCTTGGGCCGGGGCTGGTTGCAATTGCTGTTGCGGTTGCTGGGTGGGTCCTGGATGAGATGGGACTCTTGGAGGACGCGATAGGCCAAAGGGAGGAGAATTTCCTCCGGAGCAGACATCGATTGCTCCCAGTGGGCATTTTTGTGGGAGATGATGATGATGAGAACACGGAGTGGTTGATGATGTCGGTGCTTCTCGACCATCGGGGCTGTCTGATGGGTGTTTAGTTTAGTTTTTCTCTTATTTGTAGTGGGTCTTTACGATGAACTCACGTTCTAGAGCCGAAATATTTGGACTGGATAGCGCGTTGGGGGAATTCAGTCGTGCTTGGGTTGAGGGGGTTGTCTCTTTGTCCTCACACAACACATACCCCTTAGATGGGGACTCGGCACCGGATTTAATGAAGATCCCTTCACGTTTTCACCTTACGGCGATAGATCTCGATATCAATCCAAAACCTAAGCAAGAATCGGCAAATAGCCAAGTTATCCATTCAGTGCACATTTGTCGAATGATAAAATATAGTAATAAGAAATCAAACCCAAACACCATATAACCCCCATACAGCTTTTTTCTTTATGACTATTTCAGAAAGCCAGCGACCCCGGTCCTGGCTCCACGTCTTCCCCAATTCTAACCTAAGTATTCGACCCATCACATCTGCATCTGCGCGTCCTCATCATCGTAGCCCACATCGAACGCACCCCCAGGTATCCGGCCCTCGTTGAGCTCCTTCTCCAACTTCGAGATCTCCTGTAAGCTCCGTGCCTCGCGGATCAGCTTCTCGACTCGCTTCCGCTCTTGGTCGGTCAGTTGCACCCGCACCGCCTTGTCGGCAGATGCCCGGTCTGCAGGACCACCCGAGGGAACGTCAAAGGTGCGCGACTTGATGCCGATGATCTTGGATGCCAGAGCGGATGGCTCTTCGGCCGTGCCGAATAGTTCCTGGGCCTTTTCGCGCTCGGCCTCCTTTACTTTCTGATAGTCGAGGAAACGCACGCTGGGGAGGCGCCAGATCACCCAGTACCTGTAGTTCTGGGGGAGGTTAGTATACGAGAGGCCGGGTCAGATAACATCGCAGGGGCTTCGCGTTGTTTGGGGTGGGGCAAAGCCAGCGCGCAAGAATAGGAATGTATACCTCTTTCCTCGTGATCGGGTTCTCCAACAACACCAGATGCGTCAACTTGGACAAGTTGCGCAACGGGTCTAGATCGGCTAACTCCGTCACGTTATTCGAGTGCAGCACCAACGTGCTCAGGTTCGGGATCGAGGAAGCTAGCGTCGGCTGGATCTGCTTGATACGGTTGCGCGCGAGGAGAAGCGTGTGAAGGCGGGGGAAGAAGGGGAAGTTCCCGAGCGAGGAAATGCTGTTATCTGTGAGGTCGATTGCATCTTGTTCCTGGTGCCGGGTCAGCTTTTTCATTCTGGTTCAGATCCTCCCCCGGGGAGAGAGAGGAGAAGCAGTGCACGATCAACCTACCCTGGCAATACCCAAGTTCTCGATGGCGGGTATCTTGTGTCCTATAACAGCGCAAACCACAAAACGATATCAATCCAGCTCTTTTTTCAAAAGTGTAGTATCTGTCCTTTTCAGGCTCATATGTGAAACGCACCTCGGAGGTCTAGCTCTCGATCCTTCAATGGGTTGATGTACGAGAGGGAATTCTGGATGAGTTCGACAGTCAATCGCATGGCGGCGGGGGGTTCTTCTCTATTGGGGTATCATGCAAAGTAAGAAATGTGAATCAAAGAAGACAAGAATGGACGATCCGCAAAGACAGAACCAGACCGAGCGAAATTCAACAGATCAAAGACAAACCGGGGGATAAAATGAAGCTGGAGCTCTTTGCGCACGCCCAATCGTCGGAGCTGCAATTCTCCCAGGGTTTTGCCCGGGCGGTGAGAGCATCAGTCAGCGGATGGTCACGTGGGTTTCTGCTGCAGGGATTCCGAAGTGGTAAAGCGTATTTTATTGGGAACTAGACCTAGTGAGGTTAGGCTGGTTCGTATAGTTGACCAGGTACCAACAGCCTCGTCCAGCTTATCTTCTTCACATCCTCGCGCAGGTCTCTACTTCACAGCTCCAATTACTGTCTCATTTGCTACAGCTCTTAAAGCCTTGCAATCAATTGCATAACAAACACCATAGGTCTCCTTGTAAGCCTCAACCAAGGCGTCAATTTGTAGTGTAAGTCACCCTTAACCTGGATCCTTTCTGACTATATAAGCATGGAAATTTGCTCGCATGATTGCAATAAAGAAATATTAATTGGAATCAATCACCAGCTCACTCAGAGCCAAAGCATCCTCTGCATTCACAAATTGGCCTTGGAAAACCCCATCCCAACGCAGTCCAAGACATTGACATTCTCACCAGAAACCGAAACCGTGCTTCAGATGCACTCTGTCTCCAATTCTGCGAGCCTACTCACTCCATAACCTGTCTACACATCAAGCTTCCAATCATATTATTCATGCCCTCCACATTCAGATCATCAAATGCACCACGCATGTCCAACCGCATCGGGGTACCCACACAACGAGAGTTCCTGGGGACATATCAGTTAGCCTAACCAAAAGTCGAGAATGGATCGTCTATCATACCTCCACGCAGTGCAGGAATATCCATCACTAACCATCATGGAAGAGATGGCGTTGTTCCTAGAAGTAAAAGGACGTTTCAGCTTGAATTACTTATTCCGTTTTGTTGGTATGTGATAGACAACTGATATACATACCATTCATTGCCAGGTGGAAACTCCAAGCACCTGTTCAAGTCGCACAGGCCCATTCTGTCGTCCATGCGGTTGACGTCTTGCCAGACGGTGACCTATGCATAAATATACTATATTAGATTATGTCTGAGAATATGGAGGGGGCGGAGGAAGAACTGAAACAAGAAAAAAGAATCTAAATTGAAAAAAAAGAGGATTTCCAGTGTGCAATTACTGGTTAACGTGATGGACAACTACTTACGACGTCAATTTCCTGTCCGTCCTGAAAGATCGGCCAGGCTGAGGCAGTCAATGCGAAAAGTCCAAGAAGGCTAACGGCTGCGGTCTGGATGGAGAACATCTTGTCAGAGGGTGTGGGGTTTGTATGGGTGTATGTGATAGAGCTGAACACGAAGGCTTATGAAGTGGAATGCGAAGATAATGAAGGAGGAGAATCGATGGTAGGGATGGCGCTTTTATAGAGCGAATTTCTGGATATATTCTATTGTACTAAATCTTCAGAATTGAAATGGTCTGCTATATTCGCGTTTGGTACTACATGCAAGCGTCACCTCGGTATTGATAGGACGTATCATCCATGCAGGTATTGCAATATAGTCCAAATAGACGGTTGCATGTAACCTTCCCCGGACCGGGAGATTAAATTTCCACGTAAAAGAACGTTCCACGACATAGTAACTAAAGGATCACATAAGTCTCATGATCATTTAACTACCTGGGAACTAGAGAATCGACTTCGAATCCTATATTGTCAGTAGTACCAAGACTTTTAAGGTATCGGTCACCGAAAGGCCAAAGCGAAAATCGGCGGAAGCCGATATCAGAAAAGTTGTAAGTAAAACTCAGATAGCCTCAGGCCTTTTTTTACTTTTCTTCTAGGCTGCAAATATGGTAGGCAATTTTTATCGGTAGGAATTGAGTCAAGTGTTCAGTTCGTCTACCTTGATGACCACACTAAAAAGTCTCCCAGGGATTTTGCAGAGGGCCAGGACAGGCACGCTATTCGAAAATTCTTACCTGCTTCATTCACTCTTGCATATCTCAAAACGACCTGGGGGTTATTATATGTCATTTTGGGAATTAGGTCGGACCGGGACTATCATCGTGTCCCTTGAACGAGAAGATAATGGGGTTGAATACTATTTGAGTCTCCTGTGCCTGTGTTCACATAGGGGTGATTGTTTTTTTTTTTTTTTTTTTTTTTTTTTTTTTTTTTTTTTTTTTTTACTTTTTTTTTTTTTTTTTTTTGGGGGGGGGGGGGCCCGCCCCCCCCGCCCCGGGGAGTGGTGGGGGTGGGGATTTT